AAACTTGACTCGATTATATGCCTAAAACCAAGGGTAAGTTGGTTATTGACAAATTTTAGAGTTGCTATTTGTCTTCCAAATAAATAAATATCCTCTCCTACCTGAGAACATAAATATGCATGCCCAGGATAGAAAGAAGCAGCATATAATAAACATTAAGGTCAACAATAACAAATTATTGAAATATATTTAATATATTTAAACTCAGAAAAACGTGGTAGGGAAGCCATGTGATGTGCAATCCAGAGACATGGATTGAAGGGGCACTCAGGTGAAAAAGACAATGCCTATATCAGAGATGGATATTCTCTACATATTCTGTCATTTTTATTTCGATCAATTATAGTGTTTTTGATTTTATTTTTCTTTTATAGTTGACTGTATAAATGCTTATGATCAATTTATTTACACCACTGTTATTTTCTGATTAGATAAGCAAGTGAAACATAAATGAACACATATTGCCATCTTCCTACAGCACTGGATGTGACAGTGTATTTTCATCCTTGCTCACTCCCCTCTTAGCATAAAGAGAAATCCAAGCTTCCTCATGTACAAATAAAATATCCCTTATTTCTGATCAATGCCTAAGCTAGTTCCAGGAAATTGCTGAGCTGTGCAGTTCCTCGAAAGGGAAGATTTTACTTCAACCAAGGTATGTGTATTCTTCTTTGTGCCTGCCATATATTTGCCTCAAACATTTTTGCACACGGAATTAATAAAAATAGGCTCAGCAAATAGGGGGAAGGGGGAAATAGAATATTGATTTTCTTTTGAGGTTTTCATTGTCCAGGTTGGATATTCCCCTTTTGTCCCTGGTGCACCCAGCTACATAGAGCTTTGCTTTGTGAAATAATACATTGATTTTTGCTGAACCACCCTTGCTGCAAGCTTATCAATATTAATTGAGGTGGGCTGAGATGGGGAGGAGGGATCAGCGTGTGACCTTTCCCAACTCATGCTGGCTCAGATAGTCAAAACGTAGCAGAGGAGGAAGAAGCAGAACAGGTAATGGCATGTGGTTTTATTATCTTTCCCGCCCTAATCATATAAAAGCAGTAAATGTGTCTAGCTTTTACAGTAAGTACGAAAGGCAGCCTTTATTGATAAACTTTAGGGTAAATTAATTCTGGTTGATCTGGAATTAGATTCTCTGTTTCCATGGGAGAAAATCAAAAGCTTAAACATGATCCACTAGGGAAAGATTTAATGCTGGGGTGTTTGTTTAATCAGAAATATTCTGCATGAGGTGCGGTGAATGGAAACAAAAATACAGAAGAACAAAGCAATCTTACAGATCTTCCATTCTATTGTTAAGAGCAGTTGTGCACCATAGCTCTTCTGGACATTTATTTTTGTGGCTTTGTTCTACTAAAGGAAACTCGATTGTCTGTTAAACAATGTCCTTAAAAAGATCTGGGAAATGATCACCAAGTGTTAGAGGATTTTTTTTTTTTAAAAAAAAGAAGCATGCTAGAAAGTCAGCTTCTGTGCATCCAGAGTCAGCTTTCCGTTAAATTGTTTTTACAGCATTTGTTAATTTCACAAGGGATATTTTATTCAGAAACAAATTTAAATCCTTTATTTCCCTTTGTTGTTATTTTCATGATTAAATAATTTTTAAACTCTTATGTCTTCAGAAGTAGAACATTTACTGTATACAATATTGGATTTCACATATGATCCAGAAGTATTTTAAAACGTGTGTGTGTGTGTGTGTGTGTGTGTAGAATGCAATGTAGCACCAGTTAACAAAGCCATGGGTGTGTTTCTTCCTTCTTTGTCAGGGTTCATCATGTCTGACAAACCAGATTTTGCAGAAATTGAAACGTTTGATAAGACCAAACTGAAAAAAACTGAAACTAGAGAAAAAAATCCATTACCTACCAAGGAAAGTAAGTGATTTCTTTTACAATTGGTTAATCAGTGTGTATGATAGATAAATTGCCAGTGACCTACTGGATCACATTTCCTTAGAAATTGTTCATACAGATGTATGATCAGGCAGGTCTTGTTGAAATGAATGAATTATTCCTCAAATAGCTACGTACAGCGTTCCTGTTTTCCTAGCCACTTTCAAAAAACGATTTCATGTAGTCATGTATGAAGGCATGTATGTTGGCTTTCTTCCAGAACATATTATGACTTTCAAGCTAATTCAACCAGTCAGTGCCAAGCAAGATAATAATTTAATGAGCACTTTGAACTGTTTATTTCATGTGACCTTCCTAAGGCATTGTGACTGGAATTTCATATCTAAAATCTATGTAACAAATACCAAAGGGAGCTGTGAAACAATTTCAGCAACATGCACGCACAAAGGATTTTGGTAACTAGTTAAAGATTTGACAGGCTCCTTGTGGTAAAAACTGCAGTGCTACAATAACCTACAAAAGCTGTGGTTATGATGAATTTGAAAGTTTTAAGGAGACACAACAATATTTTAAAAAAACTGATAAATGCACAGCATTATTAACTATTGCAGACAATAGTATTCCATCAGTTGAAAAATTACATAATGCTGCCCTCTGCTGGTTGGTAGTTAAATCCACCATATCATTGCTTGATGAGGCTTTCAACTACAGCCGTAATTAGCCTTCCGTCTGCTTGCAAGGCTTATTATTTTTTGTACAAAAAATAACAATTTAACATGAAAGATTTTAATGCATCCATTTTGCCATTCTTAATCTGAACTGTTTCCAGAAGGTTAATTTGTATCAAAAACATTACATCACAGACCTTCTGACCTGTTCTGATCACTGCTAGTCTAAATGCTTTTCCTGTGAATGGAAAATTTTCCTACATTGGGTATAATATAAATGAGTCAATTAGTATCTCTTACCTATATTTCAATAAATGACACAGCATGCAGCTATATTCTCGCAAAAAGGAGAGAATAAAGAAAAGGACAGTTCCTCAGATTATTTCAGAGACAGATTGACACTCAGATAGTCCTCAAATTGTGGTCACATGATTACCATTTGCAAGTTTCACAGCCAGCTTCCAACAAACAAAATCAGCAGAGAAGCTGGGCACTAAAATCACCAGTTGCAGTCACGAGATGTCTCAGTTAATGACTGCATCACTTAGAATCGCTGTGGTCATTCAGTGAAGATGAATTGGCTCCTTTGCATGTGGAAAATGTAAAACAATCTATAGCTGAGAAAGCATTGCAATCACCAGAATAGCTCAAAGCCCCTTCACCAGAACTTCGCAAGACACAGGAGAAACATATTTCTACGATCCTATGAAACAAACCCATTGGGTTGTAAAAGCCTCATCTCTGCCTTTTTTCAGCCTCTCCTTCTGTGTTTGCAACACGCCCTTTTTCTTGCCTAGGGTGAGGAAAGAGAAGACATGAGCTATCGTCTTGCAGCCTTTTCCTGGCTTCAGGAGCTTTAGTTCTGAGGAAATCTCATGTTTTAAAAATGAACAAGATTTTGGATGAAATACCACACATAAAAAGAAACAAATGGAAAGCAAATACAATATGTGTGTCACTTTACTTTATTAGCATTTTACCTGCCATGATTTCACAGAGAAGAGTTGCTGATATAAATTAGTGCCTTCTCTACCTCTTCTGGGAGCACTTGATCCTGTGCATTGACTAAGAATCATGGGATTCTTTTGCTGCCTTCTGTTACACCTCCTTTCAGGGGCATAATTAAACATCAACCCCCCTCTCTTTATTTCCAGAGTTGCATTCCATGTTCAATGTCCATTAACAGAAAAAAATACCTCTGGTGGAAGGGATTCCACCTTCTCTCCTATAAAACCTTCCCCGAAAACTCTGCATTTAATTTAGAGACTTGTGGGATGCTCAGAACAGTTTGGGGCAGAGGAGGCAGGGAGAGAAAGAAGCAATTTTGTTGCACAAATTTAAGTCCTTTCATGTGAGGTTGGACTGAACATCTGAATTTTTTAAAACACTGGATCTGTTCTGTAACCTCATCAGAAAAAAAACAATAGTTTACAGTGTTAGCAATCTGATCCTCTGGGACTATAATTTGTTATTTGTTAATGGAAAGAGGCAATATTTTTTAAAAAAATGTCTTGTCAAGCACAGCAGATGTTTGATACAACAGAAAGGATTCTGGCACTTTCCAGTCTTATTAAAATGTCCAATTGTTGGGCCAGTAACCAATATGAGAGTGCAACTAGTTTTCATACCAAACATCAGTTGACTTTGTGCCTACAAAGGAGAAGTAAAGGGCAATAAAGATGGACCAGCTTAAGATATGCAGTTGGTGAAACTTTGTCATTTGTTTTTAGTGCTAATAATACCTTGCACTGTAGGAAAACACAAGGAGAATGTTGTTGTTGATGATGAAGATGTTTATCCTCTCATACTTCCAAAAAAGCTAAGAGTGACATCCATTTATTCTAACAAAGCAGAATGTGGAGTTAAATTATCTTCATTCCTCTAAGTCTCAACAGATGGCAGCACCTAACCAATCTTGGCTGATCTAGAAAGCTAAGTAGTTTTAGTATTGATTAGTACTTAAGTGGGTGGGGTGAGCAGATAGGAAGTGAAGGGCTTCAATTGAGACTAGGATGTCACTTTCCTGGGAGAAGGCATCAGTTCTGCATCATGCCAAGAAAGCTGCAAGAATGTTTTTAGTGTAAAACCCTATAGGTTGAATTCACTTCGAAGTCATTTTTCCCCCATCCTAAATTCAAGCTGCTCATTAAGATTCTGTAATGGGTTACAGGTAGTCCTTGACCTACGACCACAGTTGAGCTCAAAATGTATATTGTAAGCAAGACATTTGTTAAGTGAGTTTTGCCCCATTTTACGACTTTTCTAGCAACAGTTGTTAAGTGAATCACTGTAGTTGTTATGTTAGTAATATGGTTGTTAAGTGAATCTGGCTTCCCCATTGATTTTGCTGGTCAGAAAGTTGCAAAAGTTGTTCATGTGACCCCAGGACAGTCCGTCCGTCATAAGTAGGAATCAGTTGCCAGGCATACCAATTTTGATTGCATGACCATGGGGATGCTGCAACGGCCGTAAGTGTTAAAAATGGTCATAAGTCACTTTTCTCAGTGCTGTTGTAACTTCAAACTGTCACTAAACAAATGGTTGTAAGTCAAGGACTACCTGTACTGCAGTATCTCTTCCATGTAAGATTGAGAAAGGAAAGCCTTAAAATTATTTTGCCAGACACATAGGGAACTATGGCAGGGGTCTGTGGATTGGCATCAGTCAGCAGCATGCTAGAAACTGGCCCAAACTAGCAAAGCCCCATCCACAGGATGCAGTAAGCACGCCCCTTTCTGTCCAGGGAAAAACCTCTCTCCATGGAAGAAGTCCATGGTACCCAAAAAGTTGGGGGCCACTGAGCTATGGCCTATTTGCTGTACCTCTTAATTTAGGGGAAAAAAGGCCTATTTGCAAGACATCTGTGTTGGGCAGTTTGAGGTCCTGCCCCGGACTGCCTAGACTAGAGCCCAGAAAAATCTTACCTGACTCTAATTGCCAAGACAGTTTCCCATTATTTTGAGGTGATAAATACAGAATATATAGAATAACAGAGTTAGAAGGGACCTTGGAGGTCTTCTTATCCAACCCCTGATTAAGCAGGAAACCCTATTCCAAAGCTGACACCTATGCCATTTCAGACAAGTAGCTGTCCAGTCTCTTCTTAAAAACTTCCAGTGTTGGAACATTTACAACTTTACAACTTCTGGAGGCAAATTATCCCCCTGATTAATTGTTCTAACTGTCAGACAATTTCTCTTTAGTTCTTGGTTGGTTTTCTCCTTGATTACTTTCCGTCCATTGCTTCTTGTCCTGCCTTCAGCTGCTTTGAAGAATAGGTTGACCCCTCTTTTTTGTGGCAGCCCCTTGATTTGTAATGCAAGAGAAGAAGATTCAAGAGGAAGCTGTCTGAAAAAAAAAATCAGATTGTGGGTCTTGATTCAGCAATATCTTGGGTAGGAGACCCAGCTAATGCTCCAGGTACAATAATATTCATTGTACCTTTCTTATGTGGGGTAAAATATCATAAAGTAGTTGTTGAAAAACCAAACATTCTCATTCGTACAAATGAACACAAATATACATATCCCCAGAATCCTGCAACTCTCGTTCTTTCCTGTGCTAAAACTTATGGGGGCGGGGGGGGGGGGGACTGAATCAAATCCTGGCCCTGTACATGTGTGACATGGCTCTACCTATCTTATATGTCATTTCCCCCAATGCAAAATTTCCTCCTAATGTTGAAGATCACCACATAGGCAATAGATCAGAAGGTTTCAACGGTTAATTGTCTCTCTGATTAACTTTTCAATTGACCATGATACACATGAATATTCTATTTTTATTCAACTGATCAAAATTCTTTTCTCAAACTTCAGAAATCTCACTTCCAGCGGTGCTGAACCACTTGGTAAAGTAAATAGTGCAAAATTATTGATCTGCAACAGTGATTATGTTAATTTTCATAGTTGCTAAAGCATTTGCTTTGCACCAATTAGTAACAGTGAAAAAGACCTGTTTAATTGTATAAGTAATTTTTTTTAAAAAAAAAAATCTGTACAAATGTCAAATGTTGACAAATGATGTTTATCTTGTTCTTTTTTGTTTCTTTCTTTCTTTTTACAGCTATTGAACAGGAAAAGCAAAACAAAAATACACCTTGAAGTTGAATCAGAAGATATGGCTAACATCTGCTATGGGGTTTTAAGTTCTATATTTTAAAAATCTGTTATTAGTTGATGTATTCTGCTTTTTCAGAAATAGCACTTTTTTTACTTCCCTCCCCCCTGTATTAAAACAGCAAGAGTCATCTGTTTTAAAGCAATGCTCTGAAGCCAATCAAAACACCATTTATAATTTTCCAAAGACAGTACATATTGTGTTTCAAATATATATGTGAATTTGCCAAAAATGTATCCTTTTGTTGTTTGTCAACAGAAATTATTATTTTCATATATTATCTGATATGGAACCCCCACAATAAACCAGTTTCTGATGTGTCGCCCTTGTTTAAAACGACATTTTCTAATTCAAAAAGAGCTGTGCGTCTTGATCAAGAAGTCTGTCTGTAAACATCCTGAATAATAAAATTTAATTTTCGACCCCAATTAAATATATTTTTGGCTGTAACGGGCATGGGGCTGGGCACATAACAAAAATGTTAGAAGATTATTGGGATAATGTCACAACAGATTATTCTTTTCCAATTTTTTTGCAAAATTGAAGTTTTAAATGCCCCCACCCCTATATTTGATATATGATCAAATATATATTTCATCCTGCTATGAAAATGATATGTATCAGTGGTGGGATTCTAATTTTTTTACTACCGGTTCTGTGGGATTGGCTTGGTGGGCATGGCAGGGGAAGGATACTATAAAATCTCCAGTCAGAGGTGGGATTTGTTGGTTCTCTGAACTACTCAAAATTTCTGCTACCGGTTCTCCAGAACTGGTCAGAACCTGCTGAATACCACCTCTGGTATGTATATAGTTCCTTAAGAGAAGGTTACATGCTAATTCATCATACAGGAGCATATTTACACTTGGAAACATCAATATTAACCCATTTAATCTTCAGGTAACGGATCACAGATAAAGGTTTGAATCTTAATCCATATGTCTTTCTGATAGAAAAATGAAATCGGTATTTGGATCTTATTGAATGACCCATCCATTTTTGTTTCTTGGATTGCTATCCCTGCGTCTGATGAGCATGATATTGGGGGATTCTGGACAGACCAAAAACTACCTTTTCCATCTCAAAGTTGGACAATGGATCTATTGGAGCTAGGTGATCATACATTCAAATAAATTCTTATTATAATAAATAATATTAGAAAAAGACAATTAGCTTCAAAAGCAAAGGCAATTTAGTAGACAACAGAGCTATAAAAGAAGCAGCATGTTTGTAAATTATTATTGTTATTAGGAAATACCAATTGGTGATAAACTCTTTTCTGCTTCCTCTTCACTTAGATTTCTTCTAAGGGCTACTTTGGGAAACTAAAGGGGAAGGACTAGATAACTGTTTCAACTGATCCACCCAAATCATTTCTTCTTTTTCTTCACTATCATAAAAATTAGGATTAACTGTCCTGACCTAAAATATATTTGGGGTGAGGGAAGAGCTTGAATTGCAGTGTGACTTGTTTTTCACTAGAGGGTACTTTTCCATCATTGTGCTGCATCTGGTTAAGATGCCAACATGTATGAGAAGCATCTGGTTCATTGAAACCAAGATCCTGTGAGTTCTAATCCTACCTTAGGCACAAAGTCAGCCAAATGGCTTAAAGCCTCCCCCTCCCTCCCTTTCTCTCTCTCTTTCTCTTTCAGTCCTGGGAACTAGTTCTGGCAAGCCACTTCTGAAAAATGCTGCCAAGAAAATGACAAAGTGCAGTTTCCAGAAGTCAAAATTGACCTAAAGGCAAAACTTTTAAGTTGTATTGCAGAAATAGAAATATGTTCAGAAAAAGGTGAATATTTATTTCCATACTAAATAGGGCAATTGGACCTTATCTGGTAGCTAAGAATGTGTCCAGCAGGATGTGTCCTTTGAATAAAAATGAAATACGTCTTGAAATTAAAATCCTCCATTTTTAAAACTGTGGTTACAATTAAGGAAAAGAACTTTATATAAAATAAATAACATGAATGTTTTCATCAAATGCTTTGTTTTTACTATACAGAGATGAGATTTCCAGATTACTATACTCTGATTAAAATGCAAGGGTCGAAGTTAGCATGCATGCAGATTTCCCTTCTAGTGCAGAAAATATGCAGTTAATAGGATACATCATATCAGAAAAAAAGTTGAATAATAAATATAAAAGTATATATCTAATGGATCTAGTGAAATAATCAAGGTAATGTCTTAAGAATAGAATGATTATGATCATACAGTAGTATCAAAAATAAGAATCATTGCTGTTTTATAAATTGCTTTCACAAGCCTTTATGTTTCTTTTTAAGGCACATTTCATTTTAACTCTACTACTATTAATACCTCTTTGGCGTTGCTGCTTTAAAGATGTCAGGTAGGTGGGTTTTCATAGAGAGTTGTAAGTGAGGAAATGCCAAATACAATAAGTTTAGATACAGAAAAATATAAAGTAGATCAATTTCTATTTATCAATACTACATAGACCATTTTTAAGAAATGGACTTCAAAAATTTTATTCCACCATAATTATGGAGTATGCTTGAAAAATGAGTCCAAGTCTAACACTACATCACTTACCTTTATAGTCTATGTATGGCTCAGGCACATGGAGCTGCAAGATACAAGTTACTGCATATTTATCTCTGTGTAAATTTTTTTTATTTCCATTGAATCCAGCAAATAAAATCAGCAAGCAAAGAGAACGAGTCATTTTGAGAAGTAAACAGATGCAGTGTTGAATATGTCTTGGATAATAGTATCAATATGCATTGCTGCATGAATGAATCAGGATGTTGTCAAAATAAGGATAAATAGTAATATTTCAAAGCAATCAAAGCTTTGAAAATGTGCTATGTACCTTAACCTTAGTTTCTTCTCTAGCTGATGAAGCGCCATTTGCTAGATCTGTCCTCCAGTTAATTGCCACAATCAATTCAAGATACATATAAGAATCATATGAACCCTAGGAGAAGCTTATCTCATTTCTCCCCAAAATAAAATTGTGCAGCACTGTATCTATCGTATGTTCAAAATCTATGCTCTTTGAGAGTGTTAATTCTAAATCCAGCACAAGATCACCTTCTTAATTCATCCGGAAGGTTACAATGCCTTCCTCAACAAAACCACTTGGAAAAATACTGAGTGCTTGTGCAGAGCTGAAACACAACGTGAGATTCTTTTTTTAGTGGGAAAGGAAGATATCATTTACATTTTCAGTTTAGTCCTTTGTATTTTCAGGGAGGATTGGAAACAAAAATCCTGCTAGAAACATTTAAGTGCCATTGTTGTAACAATACATTTTTGTTTTCTTTTGTTCATCAGAAAAAGTCTCAAATATTTATTTTATTACCATTGTGGAAAAGAATGTCCTTTCTGGAATTATCCTTCAGCTATGCATATTAACGTTATATTAAGGATACTTCAGTCTGCAGGCCTATATCTGCTTATTGCAAACTTCAAAGAAAAGGAGAAGTTGTTCATTTTTTTTTCCTTTGACAAAGAATGGAAAGACATTGAATAGGGGTGTGGGAGAGTAGCAGCAGCTCTAGGGCACAGGGCTGATATGGTTCAAAACATAAAGTGTTGTCCTTTGGCTTGTGTGAATAAGAATATTCTTAGCATTAGCAATGCCCTGTCTAGGCTGATGGCTATCTGACCCTGGGCTACAGACTAATACCCACCAGACGCCCAGGTATGATGAATGTTTAACATAATTCAATTTGCACACTAGATACGTCTTATCACAAAGCTTCAGTCCATCCCCAAAGCTTCAACCCAAAGCTGCAAATTCCTGTAGATAACATTTCCATAGAACGCATCTTCAGGGACAGCATATACCATCCCCTGCCAAAATAAATAAAACCAGTCACATGCCATAGAGTTTAAGACATTTCAATGTATGACTATATTACAGGTATAGGGTGAATTCAAATTAGCCCGTGGGACAATAATGGGAGGCAAGATAACTCATTGTCCTTTGCAGCCCCACATGGCAGGTGAAGAAAAAAAATGTGAAAACTGAGTTTCCCATTGTCCAAAGAATGGCCCACCTGATTTTGGCCTGTTTGAGAAAATGATTAATATTGCTTTTTTTAATCAGATGCAAAGACAGAAGAATATTTTGGGGAGAGAAACAAAAATGTCCTGAAAACCCATCCCTCCTGAATGATCTTGACATGATTGTCATGGACAGATTGTCAGGATAACTTGTCCTCAACTTGACCCTTCAGGTGTTGCAATGGTAAAATCAGCAATCAAACTGAATCCATCCTCCTTGCTGCTGTTCATCCTCTTCTTTCTTTTTCCACTTGATCCATCACTATAGGCATCTCCAAGGAGCTGAGGTCTGCATAATGTATTACAATTTGAGCAGATAATTTCTATCTAATGTGAGAATTAGAAGGTGAGATGCAAACAATTCTGTCTTTGCATCTGGTTATAAAAGCAATATCAATCATTTTCTCAAACAGGCTAAATTCAGGTGGGCTGTTTTGTTCTGCTTGAGCCGTTTGTTTGTTCTCTATACATAATGTTGTCAAGAGTTTAATTCAACACCAAAATTAAAAACCATTAATGCTTATTCTACCTTTTTCAACAGCAACAAGGAGGATGGATTCAGTTTACATTCATAGACTATCACAGGGAAAACCATTGCCTGCCCAATTTTTATCTTTGTAGGTACAGACACCTCAGAGGCATCTGGGTACCTTTTCCAGAGCCATCATTCTTACCCTACCAAGTGCTAGTCTGTAGTTTATTTCTTCACTGCTAGTTCGTTTATTGTTGATAGTCAATCCTAAAAAGCAGCATATAGCACTTCAATATATTCACTGTCAGTTCTGTTGTCTCCTTGATATTTAATCTTAGTCTCAGTTTTTCATTGTGCACCTTGACTTTAATTACTACAGCCTTAAGATCATTTGCAGTTTCACTATCAACATAGTGTCTTCAGTACAACAAGGTACTGGGTGTTTCTTCTTCCAATTTTAAAATCACACCCTTCTTCTTCTTCCTTTGCCTGACATGGAGTCAGTCTGTTCCACCATGTTCTGTCTAGACTGTGGCTTCATCTCCTGTACATGGATTTCACTTCAGGAGAATAAGATGTTCTGGAACTCCTATTGTCTAAGCACCTTCCACAGCTTGACATGACTGATACCATAAAAAGTCTTTTTACAATCCATGAAGGACACACTGACTTCTTTTAGTTACTCTTTGGCTTTTTCAATTATCCATTGTGAATTCATAGGACAACATGAGAGTGAGGTTTATCTTCTTTCAGAGACAGTTAGTTCCATAGTAGAGGAGTCCATCCAGGGAACACCTAACTCAATTCTGCCACCTGTGTGGGGATTAATTGCTGATGTGATTAAAACATTTTTAAAAATCTAATAAGGATAGTCAGCATGATGATCTATCATTATTATGCATAACTACT